TTTTTATATAAAAATATATTTGTTTCAATTTATCGATAAATAAAAATTTAAACCATAGATTTTCTAAAATATTAATTAACTCTGCCCTGGATTCAAAAGCAAACTTTTTCAGGCCATATATTTTTGTTTTCGTCCAACTATCGATAAATCTATCCAAATTGCATACCCTCTTTTCAAAGACAAAATTCGTGTTGACCTGTGTTATCAATAAAACTTTGCAAAAAGACCTTTTGATGGAAAAACATGAAACAATTCCTTGTTTTAAAATTAAAATACTTTTTAACGAACTCTGACTTTTCCCGAACGTAACAGGTCAATTGAAAAGTCCCCGGCCTAAAATAGTAAAACACATTTTTTTTTGCAAAATTCGTTTTTTTTTTATTCAACATAATTCCCTTCAAGGGTGATACACTGATTATAGCGATCCTCCAACTTTTCGATACCATTTTTGTAGTACGATTTGTCCTTTGCTTCAAAATAGGCCTCAGTTTCGGCGATCACCTCTTCATTCGACGAAAATTTTTTCCCAACGAGCATTCTTTTGAGATCTGAGAACAGGAAGTAGTCGCTGGGGGCCAGATCTGGAGAATACGGTGGATGCGGAAGCAATTCGAAGCCCAATTCATGAATTTTTGCCATCGTTTTCACTGACTTGTGAGACGGTGCATTGTCTTGGTGAAGCAGGACTTTCTTTTTCTGCAAATGCGGTCGTTTCTCGGCGATTTCGTCCTTCAAACGGTCCAATAACGCTATGTAATAGTCGCTGTTGATGGTCCTTCCTTTTTCAAGGTAGTCAATGAAAATTATTCCACGCGCATCCCAAAATACAGACGCCATAACCTTGCCAGCCGACTGTTGCGTTTTTGCACGCTTTGGAGCGGGTTCATCGTGTGCAGTCCACTCCGATGACTGTCGATTGGACTTCGGAGTGAAATGATGGAGCCATGTTTCATCCATTGTCACATATCGACGCAAAAACTCGGGTTTATTACGCGTGATCATCTTCAAACACTGCTCTGAATCATCAACTCGTCGTTGTTTTTGGTCAAAAGTGAGCTCGCGCGGCACCCACTTTGCACAGAGCTTTCTCATACCCAAATATTCGTGAATGATGTGATGTATACGTTCCGTTGATATCTGTAGAGTGTCTGCTATTTCATTCAATTTCAATTTACGGTCATTCAAAATCATTTTGTGGATTTTTTTAATGTTTTCGTCCGTAACAGCCTCTTTTGGGCGTCCACTGCGTTCACCGTCTTCGGTGCTCATTTCACCACGTCTAAACTTAGCATACCAATCCTTGATGGTTGATTTTCCTGGGGCAGTGTCCGGAAATTCGTTATCAAGCCAAGTTTTTGCTTCAACTGTATTTTTTCCCTTCAAAAAGCAATATTTTATCAACACGCGAAATTCCTTTTTATCCATTTTTTTCACAATAACAAAAGTTGCTTCACTAAAAATGCTATAATTCACAAACTAATGATCCGACAGCCGTCAAATTTATAGACGCGTCTTTTGAAGGATCGGACTAACTGAAAATCATATGGATTTAGTTCTGGTGCCACTATCTAGGTGTCAGGCCGGGGACTTTTCAATTGACCTATTATAACGTCGGTTTAAGTATTTGACCTTTGTACTTTGTATGGGGTCCCACAGGTACCTAGTTTAAAATGACTGGAATAGATGAATTTTTGTTGTCGTTTGTCGCTGTAAATCACTGCCACTGACAGCTACTACAGAAAATGGAATCGACATTTCTGACTTCGTTAGTTTCCAGATAACACGTTTCCCGCAGGACAAGCAAAAATGTTTCTTAAAATGATCGAGTAAACTGTGCACAGCTGAGAAAACTAATGGGAAAATATTATTTTTCCAACCACGTAAAATGTAACGAGTTTGAAACAATTTTTCTTACAGTTCTTTTCATCAAAAAATAAACATTAAAACCAAATACCACAACCAAAGAATATTCGCTTCACAAGGAGAAATTGTAGAAAAAGCTGAAGCAAGAAAAGAGTGAAATTTCAATCAAATTTTTTGTGTGGTCATTCTATTTCATACAATTTTTATTATTTACCAGGGAAAGAAAATGCTTATTTCTGTGACTGCGAAAATGGAGAGAAACTCCGACTTAAGAAGATGCATTATTAATCCATAAAGTAAGATGTTTATATCACAATAAACCAGTCGTTGCCAAATGGTATTCCGTTGAAGGGTCACGGGGGTCCCGCGAGATGTATCGTTTCTCATCCTAGTAAAAATATAGAAAATTCTGCGAAATGTAATCATTCCGTTATTAACAGTAACAACTGCTTATTTTTTATGACCGAACCAGTAATGATCCCAACAGTTCATTTTATAGGAGAACCGCAACTTTTGTGAAAGAAAGATCCCTAGATCCCAGTTGAGAGGATAGGACAAATGGTCTCACATTAAGATACAATAAATTGGATACAATTGTTCATTGGTCCATTCCTGTTATCCTGGGTTGTTTTGTTTGTTTATTTATTACCATTTTTATATGCGTATAGACTAGTCTAATCACACAAAGCATTCTAATTCATTTATTTATTTANTTTTTATTGAAGGCGACTCGACCCTGCGCTATCCTCTGCTTTATATCCTTATTACTCATTCCGTCCTAACTTATTTGACTTTCTAGATACCTAAAATTGGTCACTTCTTCTAATCTTTTGTCTCCTATATTTATATTCGCTTTTTCCCTACTTTTTCTTCCCTTGGATACCAGTACTTTTGTTGTACATTTATTTATTCTTATGCGGTACTGTTTTGTCAATATCGCTTCAATTTTTTAACGCTATCTCTATCTCCTCCTTTCTAGATGCTAATACTGCTATATCATACGCAAATCTAACCACACTAATCTTTTGCCCCTGTGTATCTATCCCTATAGTTGTACTATCTTTAATGATGTTGATGGCGTCTTCGATGTATAGATTAAAATGTAGCAGTGACAGTGTGCATCCCTGTCTGACTCCCTTCCTAATATTTACTTCTCTACGTTGCAACCCTAGCTCTATAACTGCCTGTTGCTGTTTATACAAACTAAGTATCACTCTTCTACCCTTGTAATTCATCCCTATATTTTTAAGTATATTTAACATCTTGTCCCATTTAACATTGTCAAAAGCTTTTCTAAATCTACAAATCCTATTTACGCACTCCTTCTTTCTTCTATCGTTTTTTCTATTGTTACCCGTAAAGCTAAAGTGGTCTTCCGCGTTCCTCTATTTCTCCTAAACCCAAATTGATCTTCCCCTAATAGTTCTTCCGCCCATTTTTCCATCCTCTTGTGTACAATTCTAGTTAAAAATTCTAGTCTAAATTCTTTGACGGGTGGGAAGTTATAAGCTAATTATTCTAAATGTTTCGATATATACATATACATTAAATACATTAACGAAATTTTATCAAGATACGTTCAATAGTTTTCATTTGATTTTCAAACAGACAGACTCCAAAAATTTTCTACAAAAGATTTCTTTCTCAATAACAATAAAAATCCATTAGCAAAGAGCAGATGTTTTCGCTTTCGTTTTCAATTGCATCACCTGTTTATAAATTATGTAAGGCATATAAGGGTATCGGTGTCCATTTATTGTAGCATCCCTTAAACCTTCTATATTGGTTTCCTGTCAAGAAAGATTTTTCCAAAGATTAATTACACGTCGCAAACAACCGTCACTTTCTGTATTTTTCTCGATTCTTCTAATATTAATTTTGAGCTGTTTTGGCAAAGCAAAATGATAGATATCATCAACACCGTCATAATAAAAGCTTGATTAGCAAAATTAAATTTTAATGACTAAGTACATACAAAAAAACCCGGTTTATGACGATAACATTATGCAAAAAGTTAATATAAGCGTAGCTGAAAATATTAAACAATAAATGCGAATGACGTGTTAAACCATTAATCATTTATTTAAACAATTCAGTTTTTATGATAGTCGAAATTAAGCTTTTTAATAAATAACACTAAATATTTTAGCGAGTTATGAGGAGGTTGATTAAGAACTAATTTTAATTGTAACTAATTTTAATTGTTTAGAAACATATAAATTTACTAGTAGTCGTGTTTGTTAGGCACTCGTCTTTTTACAATTACAGTTTAAATGTTTGTTTAGTTATTTATATTATTAACAAATGCCTACTTTAAAAAAAATGAAACTGTAAATTTAAAAGTCGAATGAAGTTTATATTTTGAAAAATATAGTAAAAAATATAATCAAAAGTATGTTACGAAATTTTTGTAGGGGTATTACAAAATTTTGAATTCTGCGCCAAGTTATCGATTATCCTAAATTATTTGGAGTCTCGACTAACAAGAGTCTGCGTACCGACGAGCGTTGCTGCACTGTGTGCCCTCTAAACATCGGGTCTCGGAAGTAGCGCAGTGTGTAATACTGTATTGTGTACGATTGTGTACGTGAGTAAACTAAACCGGGAGACTGTTTTTATTTTTGCTTATGAGTAGGTTATTGTCAGTTGCCAATAAAGACAATTCACATTAAACGAATCAGGTAAATCACATTCACGACTTTTTAGCTTAGTCATAAATTATTACCAGCCTTATATTCATAAAAAGAAAACAAAATCAATACTAGAAGCCCTCCATAACCTCAAAGTGCAAGCATTGCTAATTGTATTTTATTTTTATTTTCAGACTGCAACTGCCTCCGTAATGGATGATGATCCTATAATAGCAACCAACGACGATGCCAGTGAATGCAAAAGAAGTGCTGTTCAATTAGGTTATTGGCAAGATAATTACATCCACCTTTTAGTCAAACAAACTCAACGAAAGGCTCCAGAGATAAACAGAGGCTATTATGCACGAGTTAAGGGGGTGGAAATTCTAGTACACAAATTTTTAAAACGTGCGGGACCGAAAGCACAAATAGTCAATTTAGGCTGTGGTTTTGATACACTATTTTGGAGGTTAAAAGATGATGGTGTTCAAGTAAATAAGTTTGTTGAAATCGATTTTCCCACTGTAACAGCGAAAAAGTGTTATTTAATTAAACGTAATAAGCAGTTACTGGAAAAAGTATATGAAAAAGATGGGGAAGTTAAGTTGAGTGCAACGGATTTACATGCAGGAACATATCACTTACTTGGGGCTGATTTAAGACATGTAAACGAACTTGAAGTGAAACTTCAACAAGCAGAGATTAATTTTATGTATCCCACATTATTTCTTTCTGAATGTGTACTCGTCTATATGGAATCAGATGGAGTTAACTGCCTTCTATCTTGGTTGTCGTCAAATTTTCAAAGTGCATTCTTCATTTGCTATGAAATGTGCAACATTAATGATACATTTGGTGATGTAATGTTGGGAAACTTAAAGGCTAGGGGTTGCGCCCTGTCAGGAGTTAATGCCTGTAGAAATCTTGAAGCTCAGCAGAGTCGGTTTATAAGTAATAATTGGGCTGGTTCAAAGGCATGGGATATGGTGAAAGTTTATTATGCCTTGCCAAGTGCAGAAAGACAGAGGATAGAGAAAATCGAATTCCTAGACGAACAAGAATTGCTTGTGCAACTTTTTCAGCACTACTGCATCTGCATCAGTTGGATAGGTTCGGAATTTTCAGATATAGACTTTAATGGTAGTTGAGAAGCATTGATGATAGAGAGCAGCAGATTGTTATTGGCTAAAATAGTGATATGATTTTTGTTTTTATGTTTGTGTTTTGTCTTAAACAGTTTGACGAATTTTATATGCTTTTTTTTAAGCAACGCAAAGTAAGCGCCGCGAATTGTTCTTTTAATAGACTATTTAATTAACGTATGATAGCTTATATAATATTGCCCTTTATACGTCCTATCTGGATATAAAATTGCCCCAGTCTATCTTGTAGCAATAACAAAATATTAATTGTTAAAAAAGCGCAAAAGCTTTTCAATTTATTTTTGCTGAAAGTACAACTCGAGCAATTTTACATACGGAAAAAGAATTTAAAGAACAATAATTAAGCTATCACACCTTAATTAAAAAGTCGTTTAAAACAAATTAAAATTTGGCGGTGCTGCTTGGCCTTACTCTTTTTTTATTAATATTGAATATTGTTAAATGTGATATGTATGTCGAACTGTTACAGTATAAATTTGATGTAGTATATAATTCTTTAAATTGCATTCATAATACAAAAAGAAAATGTACCTTCTTACAATATACAACGTACAATATTATATGAAATGAGCTACCTGACTCGGTACTTACTTGTATGTATTGTTATTATTTTTCTCGAAATTGTGATAAATCAAAGAGCTTTCTACTGCATATTAATTACCGTATTGTACTGAATGAAAAACAGATAATGTAATGTGTATTTTAACAAGATCGCCAACTAATATATGCCCGCTAATGATTAAATAAAAATTACATATATTTGATGGAAATTTTCCTTTCTTTTTTCCTTCTTAATAATACGAGTAAGTCTATTCGGAAACTGTTAGAAGAACAGGTAAGTACTGATAAATCTTTTATAATTAATTATTGAAACGTTTAAGTTTCCACTTAATTTTGTTTACATCCAATTCATCAAAAAAAAATACATTTTTAAACCGTTTATTTAGAGAAAAGCAAATCAAAATGTAATTTAGTAAATGTTTATTCAATTTAACTTATGCGCTTTTCGCATATATGTACATATAAGTTACGTGGTCTATTTAGTTTGATAGGTAGATACCTTAATAAGGCCCTAGTCTAACATTTGAAGTACTGTAGTTAGCAGCAAATGCCAATAGATAACGACACCGTCGCAATTCGGTATTAGTAACAAAATCTTAAACGAACTTCCTTTGAAGACCAAAACGGAAAAAAAGTAATAATCTTCATCTTGCCTTTGTCATTTGCAATAATTGCAATTGAAATTTAAATTGTACTCCTCAAAAGTCGAGAAATTGCAATTCTCTGTTGTAATAAACTAAATTAATCTATTTGTTTAACTTGGAATTAAAACACATGAAAAGTATAATGCATCGTTATCATGACCCTAATTGCACCGTGATTATCTCTAATCTAATCCAATCCAGTAATTATCAAATTATTTAAATCCGCGTAAAATTATCAGAGATTAAAAAATTACAATCAACTGTTTTACTCGTATGTACTTTTTTCACATTTTACATAAATCTACAACTCCACTAACTATTAATACGTAATAATATATTTGAATAACCTTCGGAAAATAAAACAAACAAAATTTCAAAACAGTTTTTTGTAATTTTCAGAAAATTGTTCTTTCTTTTTTACACACTATAGGTATGTAACACTTCCTAATTAATTTTATGGGCAATCTTACTCACATAAACTGGTAGAAGGATATAGTAAAAAAATGACCACCCTGTATATTTAGTTAACAGAGTGGGCAATATAAATCACCTTATGTCTTACCGATGATATATACGGTATATTAATCATGCTGATTTGTCTAATAAGTGCGGACTTCCGACATTCGTAAGTCGTCCGTACAATTCTGGTTTAGTTCTCATTACCGTCTGCTCTAAATTATCTAAATTAATCACAAGGTATCAAATTGTTTATCGACCTAATAAAAGGTAATAAAACCAGAACGAAATACCCACGAATAACAGTAATAATTACTACAGGTCTCATTAATTAAATAGAATGTAACTTGGAATAAAATACAGGTACCTATATAAGAAGTGGAAGAATGTTAAAAATGTCATGGATAATGAGGAGGTATTAGGAAGGAGTAATAGGAAAACAGAATGCGTTATGAATGTCGATGAGAAATAGACAAGACCGGTTGGTGGGACATCTTCTCAAACATGAAGAGTTAGTTAGAGATATATTAGAACAAGAAACAGGAGTTAAGAGGAGCTGATCAAGAGCTAGGCTAAATTTTGGACTAAATAAGTCAGATAACTCAGGATGGAAGGAGCAAGTAGACATATACAACGGAGATTTAACAAAGAAGTCATGCCTATGCTCTCGAAGAGTTAATTTAGAAATTCGAAAAAAATTGTTAAAGGTATATGTCTGGAGCACGTCTCTGTACGGGTGCGAAACGTGGACTATGAGCGCGGCGAGGAAAAAAGGTTAGCAGCTTCGTAATGTGGTCTTACAAGGGAATGATAAGGATACCGTAGATAGAGAAGGTTAGAAATGAAGAGGTATTAGAAAGAGTAGGAGAACAGAGGACTATATGGAAGTTGATAAGAAATACGAGAATTAGAGACATATTAGAAACAGGAGTTAATAGGAGTAGATGTACACCTAAATTAACCCAGGATAGGAAAGAATGGAGATGCGTGTCCATCCAGTCTTGGCACTGACGACCTTATGTTGACAATGATGAAAATAATAAAAAAGGATTTATAGAATTTGGTGAAAGCGCGAGGACAATTAAATAAATGTTTTATAAACTGATTAATAACTAGCTTGTGGCCAGCGACTTTAAACTACTTCGAATTGTTTATAATAAATACAGTTATTGAAACCAATAATAAACAATTCAAAAAAGTAGAGAGATAGAGAAAACTAGAAAGCTCCAAGTCATATCTGTAAAATTTCATAGAAATCAGTTCAGCCCATACAGACAGGCAGATTTTCTTTAAGCGTCGTTTGTATCTTAATAGCATTTAAATAGTCATATGAACTTAGAAAAAGGACTATATATGTATGTAGATGATATTCCCCGGATCGATAAATTACAATTTTGGTAATTTTTTATTACAAATTTTACATGATGTTAACCCATCAAATCAAAAGCTACAAATACGTAGCAGCGAAATCCATAAA